TGCTTGTACCTCCAAATTTATTGCCTCCAAGGGCCATGTCGACGTCCCATTGAACCCGACCATTGGACTGTTGGACTGTTCCAGATCGTCTTGGTGAAGGCCGAGCTCTTTGTAACATCTGACATACATGGTGTCACAAGAGTTGCCTTGGTCAACTAGAATGCGCATTACCTGGCACTCTCTAATCTTCAAGGATATCACCAGAGTATCATCGTGTGGATGCTGCACCATGTCTAGGTCGGCCTCAGTAAAAGATACCATGGGTTTTTGGCACTCGCCTGCCCTAGGCCTTTTTTGCTGGACATGAAACACGTGTTGTGAGTGTCTTACCCTCTGAGTCTCTCCCCGTATCTCGTTCTCATTGACCCTCGAGTGAATCACATTGATCACCTGAGGTCCTTCTGCTTGTGGTTGCGGTGCTGGTGGGGGTGTTGCTGCTGGTGCCTGGGGCAACCTTGCCTGTTCTTCCCTTGTTTTGGCCTCATCTACCAGGTCCCTCAAGTGGCCTTGTCTAACCAGGTCTTCTAAGTGTGTTTTTAGGGCTCTGCACCCCTAAGTCAGGTGTCCATCCTCATTGTAGTAGGCATAATGCTTCCCCAGGCCCCTTCCCATAAATTCGCTAGGGATTTTCTCTGGCGCTCTATAGTAAGGTTGGTTCCTGATTCTTTCTAGGATTTTGTAGACCGGGATCCGGAACACTGTGGTGACTGCTTCTGCAGTCTTTAGTCCTGTCTCTTGCCTGTTATATCTAGTATTTCCTCGGTTTCGCTTTTGCGAGCCGTTTCTCTTTTCTTGCTTCGACGCCTTTGTCCTTGGCGTGTCTTCTTCGACTCTTGCATATTTCTCGATCCTGGCTATGAGTTCCTCCATATTTTTGGGCAGCGTCTTTGCCAGTGACTTTCGAAGCAGGCAGTCATCGTTCAGGCCGTTCTTAAAAGAAACGACCGCTGATTCTTGATTGCATCTTAATATTCGGTTAAACACTTCATAATACCTTTGGGCATAAGCCCTGAGGCTTTCATCCTCGCCAATTCTCAAAGCCATCAAGGAGTCTACCCTCAATGGTTGCAGTTTGTTTGTCACAAACTTGGCTACGAACATCTCAGCCAGGCTTTCCCAACTCTTCACAGTTCCTTTTGGTAACTTGTGAAACCAGTCTAATGCGATTTCCCCAAAGGACAAAGGGGATATTTACACAGCAGCGGTTCGTTTCCAGTGTATAGTGCCATTGAGTTCAGGTACAAGCCGACATGGAAGTTAGGATCAGGCTTGCTGTCATATATCTGGAATCTCGGCATATGGAATCTTTTCGGGGACTCAAACTTGTCCAGCTCTACTGAGAACGGTGTTCTCGACTTAACCGGAGATGTGACCTCGGCATCTTGTCGTTTCCTCTGTAGGTAGTCTCTTAAATTCTCCTTAGTCCGTCCAGGAGCTCGGTTGTCGACGGACTTTAGCCTTTGGATGCGCTGCTCCTAGTGTCATTGTGAGTCCTCTTGGACCTCCCTCCATTTGTCGTGTTAAAACAAAGCTCCTTCCCTTGAACAAGCCGATGTTCCTTGGCATAGGCTTCTTTAGCACGAAGTGTCTTCTGAGACTTTCCTCTCATCGATTCTCCTCTTCCGACCTCCCGTGAAGGCCGATGAGAATGCTCCCTCGCTCTGTCATGTTGGGGGACTGCGGGGATTGCTTTTTGCCCCCCTTTCTAGGCATCGTTCTTGGCTGCTGGAATCGACATGTCCTCTAATGGGAACGGTGGTTGCATGACGTTGTTCTGCATCATGAAATTGACAACCGATTGCAGGTCCGCCAATTTGTTTGCCATCTCCTTCATCTTGCTGTCCCTCCTAAGGCATCTATTTTCCATACCTGGAGGTCGCTTTTGTTGTAATACTCGCCTCGGTCTGCCTTCTTTGGCATGTCTCCCTCTTTGCCGGCATCTTTCTTCCCAGGATTTTGCTCCCCGGGTTTTTCATTGCAGTTCTCTTCCTCTGCGTTAGGGTCAATGTGTTTGCCACTTACAGTAGGGATGTTGTCCCCAATCTTATCTTTCTGTCCGTCGTTGGCTATCTATTCTCCTTTCTTTCCCACAGACGGCGCCAAATTGTGGGTGCTGATTTCTGACCACATTGCCTAGCAGGTACTCAGCTAGAAAGCACCGACAAAATAGATTAAGCCCGAACAACCTGTCACAGAAAGATAAGAATCCGACGGTAGTTCATCTACCCGGGGGCACTCCGACGATCAAGTCAGTACTCAATTATCTCTCAAAGATTGCAAACAGTGCTTAACTCACTAACCAGAATACAAAAAACGTACTTTAGACCCACGAGGGTGCCTTACTTTTATAGCCAACACTAACCCGATTCCTCTAGAAGCCTAGCTTCTCTTGGGCTCTGGCTCAATGCTCATCTTGGACTCTCTAATAAATAAAGATGAACTCCCTAAGAGTTTAATTCTTATCCAGGCTGAGGTCCTCCCCTATTCTAGGACTCTTATAGCTTATCTGTTCACCTCGGATTCCGGTATCTTCGCAGATAATCTCGGCCTAACTGAGATCACCTCGGCGCTATGACCAGAACACGTGGCACCTCGGCTGAAACTTCGGTGCCACCTTGGCCACGTGTTGTCATTCACAAAAATGTGTCCCCACACAAACAAATTTTGTTAGAAATTATTATGTATGCCTAAGTATAGATTTTATAACCTTAATTTCATTCATCTCGTTAGTTTTATTGTTATATCTATTTATTTATTATTAATTTAATTATTTATTTACTATATATTAGGATTAATTTCAGTCAAATTAAAATTTTGTTAATTAGATTACAGTTCATTTAAAATTTAAATAAATTTAGTTTGTCAAATTCACAGGTTCTACCTCTAATTCATTACAAAAATGTTACCACTATGTTATTATTTTACTATTATTTGATCTTATGTTCAGAATCAAATATTTGTTAAAAAATAAAAAATAAAAAAAAGGTAAATGAAAATAAACGGAATGGATTTGAAACCCTATTTTTTTGTTTGGTATTAAATGAGACTTCAAATGTTTTTTAAAAATTTTAAAATTGGTAAAATAAATGTATTTATTGTTTGGTTATTATGCAGTTTTCAAAATTATTTTAAATTTTAAATTTGTATTTTTTTTATACTCAGTAACTTTATTTAATATTTTAAACAATTTTCTATTATGCAGTATAGTACATTTTTTTTTGTTGTGTTTATTGATTTTTTTTTATAGATTTATTCATAATTTTTTACTATTTAAATATAGGAGATTTTTTTAAAGGTCCCTAATATTAAGATTTTATAGTATAAGAGACACTCAATATTTTTATAATGTCTAAGGTCCCTCAACATCGATCCAGAGAAAATTCGATCCAGAGAATTTTTTTGAATAAATCACAAAGAAAATTCCAAATTTCTCTATGATTCCAAATTTCTCTGGACACAATAGAAAAAATTTCAAATTTCTCTGGACACATCACAAAGAAAATTTCAAACCAGATAAAATTTCAGTCTAGAGAAAATTGAACATTTCAATCCAGAGAAAATTGAACAACTAAAGAAAGTTCATTTCAGAGAAAATTGAACAACTAGAGAAAATTTTAATATAGAGAAAATTGAACAACTAGAGAAAATTTCAATCCAGAAAAAATTCGACTTCACAGAGAAAATCTCACTAGAGAAATTCTAGAGAAATTCTTCAAAACCAGAGAAATTCCCCACTCCACCCCAGAAAAATTCACTCAAACCCAGAGAAAATCTCATTCCAATCCAGAGAAATTCACTTAACTCAGAGAAAATCCCACTCTCTAACTCACAGAAATTCCCCCTCACAATCTTTTCTGGTTGAAAATCATAAACCTCAGACAAAATGTGTTCCATGATTCACAAGAACGAGAGAACACAACATAATCTTTTCTTAATTCCCAAACAGACTCTAATTGCTCGACTATCCATGAATATAAAAAAGAAACCCCATATTTCAACGGAGCTCTAGTTTTCAAGTTTTTGAGATATTATAAACCCAAATTTAGTCAGCAAGAAAGCAAACTATGCAGCCAAAGCTAGAACGAATAGCGTAAAACAAAGCACAATACTGAAATAGAGAACAGTGTGTTCAAATTGGGGACTCACATCCTTTTTTGAGGTTTTCCTCTCGAAACCACTTCAAAACATGGTCAAGAGGCTTTGAAGACCTCGGAGACCTAAAATACCATCTTCGAGTTGAGCTCGCTCTCGAATTTGTCGTAGATGGAGTGAAGTAGAGCTTGATACCGTGAATGAAAGAGCTCTTCGGGATGCTAATGGCAGTAGATAGTTTGCGGTTGTCGGTGATGATGGCTGGAGCTACAAGAGGAGAGAGAAGCGAGGTCGTCATGGCCACTTTCTCTCTCTAGAATTCGAAGATTACTTTCTCACTCAGTTTAAGCCAGAAATAAGAGAGGCATGGTGATGATGATTGAAAAAAGAGAGAGAGTCAAATTTCTCTGATCTGATATATGGGTGTGGATTCAGGGATCTTAGACATCAAAAAATAATATTGTGGATCTCTTCCATTATTAAAAATGAGAGAGTGACCTTAGACTAATTTTTCCTTAAATATATCTAGACAAGATGTATTTAAAAATAAAAATAAAAAATGATCAAAATATCTAAAAAAATCATTAAAAAAAATATATGAATTAAAAATTCAAAATCTAATTTTAACAATTGGATAATCAAAGTGATAAAATGAATTTCCAATTTCCAAGATGGAATATTAGTTCATCAAGATATATATATATCTATATATATAGAATTACTTTTACAGTAATTCTTGATGGCCTAAAAATTCATAATTTGAATGTATTAAAACGATATCATTTTGAAGATAAAATGTTGTTGTTTAAATACATTAAAATGTTGTTGTTTAAATACATTCGAACCGTTCAAACCTTACAAATTAGGACTACCAAATATTTTTTATTTTTTTTTTACTTTTAGTGCCAAAGAACACAAATTCCATTATTTATCTATTTTATTTTATTAAAACAATCCTCTTTTCTATTCAAATCGCACTGTTAGGGTTTCTTCTCTTCTCTGGAATCTCTCACTGCGGCTGCGTCTCTTTATCTCTCTCTAGGCCCTCAGTCCTCAGGTGACTCTCTCTCTCTCTCTCTCTCTCTCTCTCTCTCTCTATATATATATATATATCTGAATCTCTTTCATTTTCTTACTTTAGGGCCATTCTTGACTCGAAATCAATTTTGGGGCTGGTCGAATAGCTCATACGTACTAACAGAAAGTACAGGAAGAGAAAAGTGTGAAATTGGTACGCAAAGTCTAACTCAAGCTGTCTTTCTCTCTCTATCTGTATCGTCTACAACAAAATCTCTCAAGTTCCGATGAGTCGATATGAATTTGTATATGCTTAATTCTTTATTGATTTAAGCTGCATCTCTATTCTAACTCTTATAAGGCAAGAATTGCATTGAACCCTTTACGTAATTAGGTGTTATAAGACTTGGATTGAGTTGAGATATCATGAAAATAAAGTTGATGAATGATGTTTGAATTACAAATTGATAGTTTTTAATTTTCTTTATTTATTTATTTATTTTTTTATGTTGAATGTGTTGATGTTTTTAATAATTTTGGCTGTTTCTGGATAAAAATTAACAAATAAAAATATATAAAAACTATTTTTTGTTGTATCTCGTCTGGCCATGTACATATCATGCCCATTCTTTTAAGCCCATGACTTAAAAGTAGTGATACAACATAATTTTGAATCCCATCATGAAGTTTTGCAGAGGAAATTTCAAATATAAATATTACAAATGAAAGAAGTTAATGGCAATTATCAGGCACAAACATAAATTAACAGATTCTCCTAAAATAATTTTTATATATATATATTTTTTTGATAAATATGCGATCTTTGATAGAAAAGCATCAAGAAGATACAAAGAATACAAAAATCAGGCCCCTAAAGAAAGACTAAGATAATAAATCCTCCACAAAATCTAAAATAATATTCCATGCCCCCTTATCAATATATTGCTATCTAGCAGCATTACGTTAGAAATTTAATGCAACTCTATGTTTATGATCAATGTTGATTGCAACTTTGTTTTAACAGTAAGTTCAAATTTATACATGGTAAGTTGTATTTTTATAATTAACAGTCACAATAAGTGACGTTATTAGAACCTTGTGTGTCCACCCCCAACCAAACATGAAATGACATAGAGGATTGCAACCCTAATTACAGCCATGCCAACTACAAACTTAGCTGAGATTAATCTATCCAAAATTATATTTCATCAACAGCCTAATAGTGAATGAGAAAAAAAAGTTTTATTTATTTATTTATTTTATTTTTTTCTTTTGATTGGCGAAATCTCCCAAACATTCCTAATACCCTAGCCCTTCTAAACTCCCATGCCCCTTTTGCACGGCTTGAACCCCTAACCTCCCCTGTGGAAGTGTTGGGGTGATGCCACTAGACCACAAGATCATTGGTGAGAAGAAAAAACAAGAAGAGAGAAGTTATGAAGTAGAGAATATGTAGTATTCAATCACAGTTAACATCGCAAAATTTAAAAAACATAAATTGTCAAATAAGGAAAAAAAGGAAGGGAAATGAAGTACAAAATATGACAAAGAAAGAAATAAGAGTAAAACTTCAATTAGACCAAAATTTGGAAGATTGTAATTTACTTTACAAAAATGTGGTAAAAATCATGCTTCATATATTTGCAACAATAAAGTTGCACTTGTTTCGGCCCGTCAAGTATTTGGTTGCAACTCCGAAAATGATGGTGCTAGTGGTTGGCTGGTGTGGCTGCGGTAGATGAGTGTTAAGGTGTGGGAGTGGCGGCGACGGTTTTGGAGGAATTGTGGTGGGGTTAGTGCTAGTGGTAGGGGGTTGGTGGCGACAATGGTGGTGACTTGTGGTGGTTGTTTTGGCAAGACTTTAGTTTGCCTTGTTAGGTATGGAAAATGTTTCCGCCTTTAAAGAGCTAAAATTATTGTTTTGTTGAAATAAGCACATCTAAATTGAAAGTGTGGAAAAAGAAAAGGACAAAAGAGTGACGGCTGGTCGCAGACAAATCATTCTAATTCAAGCTTTTGGTCCAATCTTGCTTTACCATCATATTACCACCTCAACCAATACTCCAAGATAAAATAGAAAGTTCCAAAACACTAATAAAAATGTCCAAAAATGAACCCCTGTGCTTTAGAAATACAACTCAACTTGGAGACCCGCTCGAGCGCCCAACCTTGCGCTCGAGCGCGAAGACCAACAAAGACGTCCGCTCGAGCGTCAACTCCCCCGCTCGAGCGGAAAATCACAACTCCCAGAATATCAGGCCGTCTGCACAATTTGCTGGAAACCCCAAAAGTACGCTCGAGCGCCTACTGCTCCGCTCGAGCGGAGGGAAAAAGTTCCAGATTGTTTGGTAAGGTTACCAATTCCAGTTTCAAAGACATAACTCAACGGATAGTTCTTTAATTCCAATAGCAAACACATTAACGCCTAATTAAATAAGGATAACTTTCCATACGCGTTTTTGGGGTCGTTACAAGAGAAGTTATGAAGTAGAGAATATGTAGTATTCAATCACAGTTAACATCGCAAAATTTAAAAAACATAAATTGTCAAATAAGGAAAAAAAGGAAGGGAAATGAAGTACAAAATATGACAAAGAAAGAAATAAGAGTAAAACTTCAATTAGACCAAAATTTGGAAGATTGTAATTTACTTTACAAAAATGTGGTAAAAATCATGCTTCATATATTTGCAACAATAAAGTTGCACTTGTTTCGGCCCGTCAAGTATTTGGTTGCAACTCCGAAAATGATGGTGCTAGTGGTTGGCTGGTGTGGCTGCGGTAGATGAGTGTTAAGGTGTGGGAGTGGCGGCGACGGTTTTGGAGGAATTGTGGTGGGGTTAGTGCTAGTGGTAGGGGGTTGGTGGTGACAATGGTGGTGACTTGTGGTGGTTGTTTTGGCAAGACTTTAGTTTGCCTTGTTAGGTATGGAAAATGTTTCCGCCTTTAAAGAGCTAAAATTATTGTTTTGTTGAAATAAGCTCATTTTTGTTGATCATGTAAAATGTTTTCTGTTGATTTTATTTTTCATTGTACCAAATGCCAAAAAATTTAGAAAATGCTTGCCGCTGGAAAAAATGGATTGTACATCTATTCATATATGCACACAAAACAATTTTACTAACTATATAGGTGATTAGACACTTCTATGCTTGAACTAGAGGCATCAGATTATTATGTTTTCTATGGGAACACGTCATATATTCAACTAATAAAATCAGGTTACTAATAAAAAGAAACTGGTTTTATGTAATCTGAACTAAAACATTAGCAAATCAAATGCTCAAAATTAACTGACCTCCTAGAAAATAACTCTAAAATAACAAACAAATACATCAATTTGAAGCAAATTGAAAATAGCACACAAAAAAATCAAAGTATGATAATAAACATGTATAGCAGGCGGGAGCCATCAGATGCTTTTTGATGAGAGAGAGAGAGAGCAATGTCTTGCTTTTAGGGATATTGATGATATTTATTTTAACAGCCCCAATCTTGATAATTTATTTTCTTACCATAACTTCCTCTAATTTTCCATAATAGCATAGACTCCCTTGTAGTGTAAAGATATTTCTAGCCTTTCCGTATGTCGCAATACTAACAATAACATAAAGAATATTTTTCTTCAATGAGTAACTAGGTCCATTATTTAAGAAAACAAACACAAAATGGGAAAAGTCCTATTCCCTCTCCCTCCCATTTGTGGTCTGTTGGGGCAAGGTTGTTAAAATCAGGATCCATCGTTGGAGGTGTTTATAGGATCGGATCGTAGAATCAGATCGAGAATCGTAAGATCCTACTAAAAAAGACAAATTACGTAATAATTTAATTTAAATAAATTTTTCTTAAAAAATATACACAAAATAAGCCTATATTTTACTAAAAAGAAGTGAAGATATTATGAAAAATATAATATTCCATATAAAATGTAAATATAATATTATACAATAGAAAACTCGATGACAATATTTAAAAAGTTAAGAAATAATATTTAACAAAGTCAGATATGAAAATAGATTGAGAAGTTAAAAGAGCGGCTTAACCGAATGATAAAGTTTGTTATTAGCATCTCTAGTGGAATGGGTTCAAGTTACGAAAATTGTCTCTCCAAAAGTTCGGGTAAAGTTACAATCATCCTATGAAGCATGAGTACTCCAAAAATGTTGCCGTACAAGTACCGGGTACTTCCCGGGTACGCGTACCGGTACGGTGTGCAGCTGCACGCGTACCGGGTACGTCAAAAACGCACCGGGTACGTTTTATACGGTCAGTATACTGATGGGTACGCCATGGGTACGTTTTTGGGTACTCCGGGGTAAAAAATGATGGGTATGTTTGGTTTGGCTTTGTAGAGTGATTTTGGAAAAAAATTTCTAAAAAACTTGTTTGGTTTGTAATTTTTTCAAATCAATTTTCAAAATCATTTTCTCTCTTTGACACATCAATAAATCACTTTTTCTCTCTCCTCTCTCCTCTCTCCTCTCTCATTCTCAATCACTTTTTTTCTCACACATATCTACTAAATCATAACAAAATATCAAATCATTCCAAACTCCCAAACTCCAAAACTACTTTCAAAATACACAACCAAACAAATCAAAAAAATTTCTAAACTCTCTCTCCATAATAATTTTTAAAAATTACTCTCTCAAAACCAAACCAAACATACCCGATATTTTTTATAAATTAAAGGGTACCGGATCAATTTTTTGTGTCTATTTTAAAGAATTATAAAAATCTGAGGTTCTTTTGTAATAAATAAAACATGAAACCAAATAAAATTAGGGTTCTTTATTCTCTCTATCATTCGATCATCTCAGCTCCTTCCATATCTCATTTTGAAATACTCCAAGACTGAAGAACTTCGAAGGTGCTAGGGTTCCATGTCTATTCAATCATCTCCTTCCAGAAATACTCCCAAGAGAGTCTGAAGAACACTTCGAAGGTGCGATTGAAAGGTTTAATCGAATGTACTGGTGATTGATTCTCTCCTTCGAAGGTGCGATTGAAGAGATAAGTTCATCTTTGATTCTTTCCCCTTTTCTTCTTCGATTCTTTATCCTCTTTCTTTCATTTTTTCTTTCTAGATTTTTGTGCTGTTTCTTCGCTGCAAACGATCGATTCTTCCTCTTTGGTTTTCTCTTTCTTTGATCCTTCATCTTCTTCTTCATTTTTCTTGAACTCTCTCTCTTTTTTTTTTCTTTTTTTTTCTTCTTGATATATGTCCAGATTTTTGAACTAAAATCTGTCCAGATTTGTTGAACTAAGATCTGTCCTTATTTTTTTTTTTCTTCTGATATATGTCATATATATATGCAATATGATATTGGTTGTAAAGCTTGATGACAAATTAAAATCCCTTGACACCGTAAATTCTCTTTCGTAGCAGTTTATTTTGGGGGGGGAGGGATAGGGGTTTTGTAACTGAAAAACAGAGCATTAATTTGTAATGCATAACCATTGGTTTTGAGTTGAGTTTTCTGTTTGTTTCCACATTGGTTAATTTCCTTGCAATGCTTGATGTTGTGGGTGGATACGATTGGTTATTGTTTCATTGTCTTTCATGAACTAAAATTGAGAGATATTTTGTAGGTTAAAATGGGAATTAGATTTAAAGGTGTTGTAGTGTCCTTGTTCTTGTCACACTTGTCACTGAAATATATATTTTATTCAATATATGCAATATATTAGATCTGTCCAAATTGTTATTTAAATATTTGATGAGCAAAAAGAACGATTTGTCTTTTAGTTTGTAGTTTTCTTTTTAGTTTTGATATTTAATTTTAATTTGTAGGTTAGATCCTTTAACCATAATTATAAAAAAATAAAAAATAAAAAATATCAGCGTACCATAACCGTACCCGTATCATATTTTTTTAGAGTTTTGCCGTATCGGCGTACCTGTACCGTACTCGTACCCACACCTGTGCTACCTAGCAATCATCTTACCCTCCTTTAGACCTCGCTAAAGCTAAGTTTGTTTTTTTGACTATTTAGGTTTCTTAAATTGGTATTATATTAAATGTTTGTTTCCTAATTTGTTTATTTGATTCAATACTATCATTTTTTTTAGTTTTTATTTTTTTATATTCATTTGGACCAGATAAATTGATATATAGACAAAAAACATAAAATTTACAATATATAGACTATACAATACAAAACAAGGCTTACAAATTGGATCGGATAGGATTGGATTCGGATAAGGATTCCATGATCCTATAAGATCCTATTACCAGGATTGAAAGATCATATCTATAAGTGATTTTTTATACGATCCGGATCAATTGTGCCCAAATGGATTGTAAGATCATAGAATCATAGTATCTGGATTGGAATTTTGATAATCATGGTTGGGAGGTGGGTTGGACAAAAAGGAAGGTAACAATATTTATGATCTTATCAAACGAGCTGCTACAAACCCTTACATAAATATGAAACGGCAAGTTTTTAACATGTTTAATATGCAAAACTATAGGAATTAATTTTCTTAATTTTATAGTTTTAATAATTTACACTAAGGACTACACTTGTATAATTGAGGGCTGAGTTGCAATATTATTATGGTGAGCCATAAGTATCGGATTGATTGCCTTTACTATAACAGTGCCCTCTGTTTAGAGTAAGGAATTTAAGGTTAAATTTTTAAAAGTACAGGAGATTGAATAAATTAGAAATAGGAAAAAAATATTTTATTAGGACCATTGTGGAACTACAACCCTTAGCATGAAGGATTTCAAATAACTAGTTTTACATGGTTGTGTCAAATTCATCATAACAAAGCTCTCAAATTCAATATTGAAATCCATATATGAACTATCAAATTTAAATTTGAGCTATTGTTCTTGGACGAATAGTGCCAAAAATTTCATTTTAAATCCATAAATTTGAACACCTCCTTAGTGGAATTCACGATTTAGGACTATTGCATGTATAGGTGAGTATGTTAAAAAGCGCTTTGCTTTGAATATGCACTGAATATGGACACAAAGACTCACGCACTTGCACATGCTTTGAGTAGCCACTTTTGTGACTTTTATTGCTGTTAATAAAGCACTTCTTCTGCCAACTGATGTTGACATTTGATGTAGGTTGTAAATCTTTTTGAGTCACAGTTCGCGTCCTCCTTTTTGCTCACTGAGCTTACCAAACCAACATTTGCTTCTGTTGCAGCACAAAGTCCTTGGGAATAGCCAAGATGTCTCGAAAGGGGTTGATGGAGCAGGATTTGAGTAAGCTGGATGTGGCAAAGCTAAATCCACTCTCACCTGAAGTTATTTCTCGTCAGGCTACAATAAATATTGGTAATTCATGCTTCATGAGTTTTTTTTACCTATTTTCAGCTTACATCAGTTAACATTATGGTGTTTTTAGGGATTTGAATTTTCTTTCTGTATTAACATTCAATTGATGCTCCATAATAAGTGCTTAAGGTTGAAGACAGTAATTTAGAGTTAAATTTATTTTTGCAGGTACTATTGGTCATGTGGCTCATGGCAAGTCAACTGTTGTAAAAGCAATATCTGGTGTTCAGGTAATTATTCATTTTTCTCTCTTTCTACTGCTTGTTCCTTGTATTGTACTGCATATCTTCTCAGAGTTTTTATTTGCAGGCTTATTTGTGTTTGTGATTTTGTCATCAGTTCAGCTTGTTAGTAGTTTGGTAGTCCACTTATTTAGCAACAATATAAAGCTGGTAAAAAAATAATAAGTAAGCTGGTAATCCTTAATTTGTTTTTTGTATTCTTTCTTGTTACTTGTTAGTATGGACATCATGATGGACTATTGTATCAAGGGGAAAATAGTACAGTGAATGTGTGCTTTCTATTAATTGGTTATTTTACCTAAAGTTTTCTCCAACTTGAACTAGTAGTAGTTTTACCTAAAGTCAATTGTTACTCCTTAATTCTTGGTGACAGAGTTGTGCTTGTTAAGTCATGAGCTGTCAAGCACGAAAATTGACTAACCAAGGAGTTGATGGAGCCAAAGTGATTTTAAGTACTTGGTTGAAATTTCTACGTTATAAATTTCAAGGTCTTTATGATTATATGATTTGTCAATTTTCTGCAGACTGTTCGTTTCAAAAATGAGCTAGAGCGCAATATTACTATTAAGCTTGGATATGCGAATGCCAAGATATACAAATGTGAAGATGATCGATGCCCTCGGCCCATGTGCTACAAGTAAGTTGGTATCCATAGAATCAGTGTGCGTACTTTGGATTTTCATTGGCACATGGTATATAACATAAAAACACCTTTTTACAGGGCATATGGAAGTGGAAAAGAAGATAACCCTATGTGTGATGTGCCTGGGTTCGAAAACTGTAGGATGAAATTGTTGAGGCACGTATCTTTTGTTGATTGCCCGGTAAGGTGCCCAATGCCAATTTTAGTAAATGCTGTTTATTTACATCAAGCATCTCTCTAAATATACTCTCGTATGCACATATCCATGTATGTATTGTTACTTGACAATTATTTGTGCGCTCTAGATTTTGTATAAATATATGCATGTGTATGTACATTTCTCATCTCCGAAAGAAAGTTGATTATTATGCTTTATTTGTCTGGTGCAATATAATATGGTGTTTGATAACATTTATCTGTTCTTCAATCCTCATTATATTATTTTATCTTTTTGAATCGGCATATGGGAAGCAATGCCATTTGTTGGGCAAATTCCTGTAGCTTTCTTTTTGTCATTCATGTTTGTGTCATAGCACTTGTCTTTAAAATTTATCTATGTTACAGTTATCCTCTACGACATTAAATTTTCCATTGTGGTTACAGTCGATGTTAAGTATATTTGTTCTAGTTCTCATATGCGGGACTGTTGGATTTAAGTTTTGTCGGTTGTACCACCTAATCAAGGAGGTTAATTCTTATAGCAACAGATAATAGTGGACGTTTTTGTGCGGCCTTACTGGCTAGGTTAGAATATGATCATTCAGCATGTTTAGTGAAAGCTAATGACAGAATAGGGCATATTCCCTAAGGTTGCATTTGGATTTATGGACTTGAAATGAAAGAATTTGGATACTAATCATTAAAGGATAATAGCTGAAAGTTAGATGTGATAGTTTAGATATAAATTTCTGGATTGTGTTCGAGATCTTTTCCATAATGGATGATGATGGATTTGGAATGACAATGTAAAAGCAGTTATCTGAAATCCTTCATATTAAGTGTTATAGTTGTACAAGGATTATAATAAAACACTTCTACTTAACTACTCTGTCTTCCCCTTTTGGTTTCTTGATCTATCTATAATAGCCAACTCCCATATAATTTATACA